TTGTGGGTGCTAACTCTGCAGAACTAAGGGATAAGATCTTAAAGCAAGTACCACTTGATCCTAGAAAAACTAAGCAATTACCTTTAAACCTTCAACTTGCTGAAGGTGAAAGAACAGAAATCGCAGTGAATCTAAGGACTGATGATGGCATGACAAATGGTGCTGCTAATATTGTAAGGAAGATACAATTACATGACAAAAACAGACCTTCTGGAATAATATGGGTAGAATTTGACCAAGCACATGTAGGAGGAAAAACTAGACATGATTACAGGCACTTATTTGTACAAGGTATTGAACGCAAATGGACTCCTATCAAACCTATCACTGCACAATTTGCAGTTGGAAGAAACAGAACAGCACAGGTTGTGAGAAAGCAATTTCCATTGAGACCTGCAGCTGCTAAAACCATTCACAGATCACAAGGTGACACTGAGACAAGAATAGTAGTTAACTTTAACACCAGGAGAGCAATACCTCACATTCATTATGTAGGATTAAGTAGAGTAACAACTATAGAAGGGCTTTACATAACTGACCTTTGTGAGAACAAAATAGCTGTAAATCATGATGTTAAAGCAGAAATGCAACGCTTACGGACAGAAAAGCATCTCCACTTTTCTTTAACTCCTATTTATGAAATACATGAACCTACTGTTAAGTTATGCTTCCTTAATTCAAGATCATTGCATAAACATATAGAAGACATACGCAAAGATTTGAACTATTCACATACTGATGTCAGTATATTCTCAGAAACAAGGTTATATACTTTAGACAGCAATACTGCATACACAATTAGTGGCTACAGTTTATTTAGAAATGACAGTCAATGCACAACATGTAATACCAGACCTTATGGTGGAACAGCTGTGTATAGTAAAATAAGTTTTATTCCTGGGTATCCAGTTTGCATGAACACAAATGGCGTAGAAATAACTATTGTAAAACTTGAAAAAATACCACAAATTACCATAATAGGTGTGTATCGGTCACCCAGAGTGCCTGTACGACAGATGTGTTTAGCATTAACAGAACTTCTGACTATGAACTGTTCCCAATTTAAACTATTTATGGGTGATTTTAATGTGAACTGGTTAAATGAAAAAGAGAAACTTCCTCTTTATAATTTGTTCATTAGAGAAAACAGCTACAGGCAATTAATATCATGTTATACAACTGACAACAGAACCACCATAGACCACATTTATACCAATTTACCTGAATCACAGGTGAATTTGCACATTTTAGAAACATATTTTTCAGATCATAAAGCAATCTGTGCATTGATTCGAACATAATTGCTGCTGTAGACAGCCGTCAATATTCTTGAAGCCATCGATAAATTAACCGTAAAAGTGTCAAAGAAACTAGAAATATCGAAAATAAAACTCTTTTGTGTGGTGTAACTGAGCTTAAAAGAGGATTCTG